AAATTGAGTCAATATAGATATATAAATAAAGAGATTTTCGAAAAAGGTAAAAAAAAAAAAAAAAAAAAAAATGGAAACAATAACAGCACTCGGTGATAAGAAGGTATTTCGATTTTTTTTTTTTTTTATGCAACCGAAATTCCTTTCAAAAAGGATTTTACTTCCAATTTTAAGCCGTAGAAGAAAAATAAATAAAATTGGAAAGCAAACAAATGTAAAAACCTTCCCGAAAACAATGATAGCAATAATGGCGATATTGATATGATAATAACAATGGCGTGATTAAAAACTATCATTGACAATGATAACTGTGATAATAATGGTGAAGATGATGATCACATGAACGCAACGGTGTTATTACTCCTCATAACAACGCCAACACGATAATGATAATAACGAAATAACTAATCACAATAAACACAAACTAGCTACCTCGCACACGCACTTTTACACTCTTAAACCACGATTCCCACTCTCCGTCGCCGAAACTTACCCCCTCTTCGCCAAAACCAAACGCCCAAAGAACCACAGAAGATATTTGCCCCATATTTTCGACTTCCCTGGATGGCGCGAGGAATTCGACTGAGAGGCATCTTCTCGGTAACGCTGGTTTTATCTCGCTCTTATCAGCCATCACACACGTAGGCTGTACTGAAGGAAATATACAAGCAAGGTCTATATTAGTACTTATATAGACCTTGTATATATGTGCGTGGGTGTGTGAATACGCGTGTATATATATGTGTATATATATATTATATATATATATATATGTGTGTGTGTTGTGTTGTGTGTGTGTGTGTGTGTGTGTGTGTGGTGTGTGTGTGTGTGTGTGTGTGTGTGCTGTGCGTGCGTGCGTGCGTGCGTGCGTGCGTGCCGTGTGTGTGTGTGTGTTGGAGCCCATTTCTTCTGAGGGAAGGCAGGAGCGCCATGCAGGCCTGGATGACTGCCCTCTACTTTGCAAAAAAGGACGATATTATCTGGGCTTCAAGGAGAGTGAAGGAGAGAACCCATTCTTGGCCTCGGCTCGTGAGGTGAACGGCGCCTACCCTCCTGGTGTCAGCTTGGGTCGCGGAAGGTCAGAGGGTAAGACGGGCACCATCGACACGCGGATCAGCAGAAGATAGACCTTCCCTTCCCAGGCCAAAATCATGGCTCCTCCTGCGCTGTCTTTCCTCAAGGAGCAAGGGATGAGGTTCAGTCATGTCTTCGGATAAGTGACACTCTAGGCTTGATTTAACGGCCTCCAGTAGTTTAAGAAAAATGCCTCTTCGAGCTGGATCCTGGTCTTCTTTACTTCTGTTCTCAGACACAGGATTTTTTTCTGGCCTTCCATGCTCCTGAAACGTTTCATATCAACACTCACGTCGGCTGCCGCACCAGTGTCGGTACCGAGAACTAGAATGAAGCTATATCTATCAGGGCAATAAATCTGAACAGGTTTCCGCAGCGCTCCCTACTTCTTTTACCTGTCCTTTATATTTTTCATCAAAGAGAGAAGCCGTTAGCATGACCTTTTTCACTGCAGTCTTGACTTTGTTCTGGACTTTCGCAGCTCCGCCCTTCCTTGTAGTCGACGTGGATGTGCTTGACTGCATTCCTGATCCCCTCTTCCCAAGCTGGTCTCTGGAGGTGGAGGTGCTGCCTCACTGCGTCATGAAAGGCCCTATCCCACTAGCACTTTTTCCGTCAATTTTTGCGCTTCCGAATGAACTCCGTATGAAAATCATGTAAACAAACATGGCGCTATCGGAGTGTGAGGTCCCGGGAATCGCACGAACATTCTCATGCATATTACGTTATTTTAAAGAAATATGATGATGTTTATTGTATATACGAATGTTCTAAAATATTAGCTCATGTTTACATTCACTCATCCTGTCTAATTTATTAATAGCACAAGATCAACACGGAAATTATTCAGACAGAAACGGTCGTCACCGTCTTGGTCTGGGAGGCGCTCCGTTTGTAGACGATCCTTGCGGAAAGCCTCACATTCAGACGGAAGCCCAGAAATTGACGGAAAAAGTGCTAGTGTGATAGGGCCTTCAGACGGGGCAATTTGCATATCCTTTGAGGGGAGTCGTCAAGCTGAGAGAGAGTGAGATATCTGTCGAAGCCTTTCTGAAGATCCCGTGGCCTGTCAAGTCTTCCATGTTGGTCACGTTCGACTGCTCTTGGGTAAGGAAGTCCCCAACCACCTTGTGCCCACACATGAGGGCGCAATGCCCCCTCGTGCGATGAGAAGCGTCCTTGGCACAAATGTTTCCACCGGAGCGCATTAGGTAATGAGGATGATGATGTTAGTGATGATATTAATAAGCAGATATAAGGATAAAAACAATAACGATAACAATAATGATAATAGTAATGATAGTGACAAAATAATGATAAGAATGATGTGTATATATATAGACAGATATATATATATATATATATATATATATATATATATATATATATATATATATATATATATATATATATATATATATATATAATATAACATATCTTCATGCTCGGTCATTGTAATTAACTAAAGAAATTTACATACCATGCCAAGAGTTTCCATATTTAGTATTCTACCTCCAAATTACTCGGAGAAACGAAAAAAAAAGGTCAAACCTGCCTACTTCTTTACGTCCCTTTGTTGTCTCCATGAGGTGCAGGTCGGATACTACAGCAAAACATTATACAGAACAGAAACATTTGCATTGCGTCAACAATTTCTCATACACATTACACGTTGGTAAATTTAACATATACACATATAATTTCTTATACAAAATACGTTGCACGCCTAATGTAATGCTCCAAATCATATAAATATGAGTCAGATAATACAAATTGCTTTGACATGTTTTGCCTAATAACTTGTCATTTTAATCATACAATAATAAGTTATAATAATAATGATAATAATAATAATAACGATAATAATAAAAAATAATAATATAATGAGGAAGAAGAGAAGTTCTTTAGTAACAATAATAACTTAAAATTTAAACTTTGTTTTACTTAAATAGTTATGCTTGAATGTTCACCAAAAATGGTCGTAATACTCCCCAAATACAAACTTGGCAGATGCGAATATATATTAGAACAGACTGATGTCTTGAAGCAACCCGACAAGAGTTTTTATTAAAATTGTTATTATTGTTATTATTATCATTATTATTAACAATAATAAAAACTCACTACTGGTTCCTTCAAGACATTAGTCTGTTCTAATGTATATTCGCATCTGCTATATTCGATTGTCACACCGTTTTATTCTTTCCACCAGTCCCTCCTTCATTCACGTCACCTCATCTGCTCCCATCCTCTATCTAGATTTATTTACCCTTCGTCATCCATCTGTCATGTCCTTATGTCTCTCGCTCTGCCCTGGAACTCCGCACCCCTTTCTCTGCAATTGTTTGCTTCTGTTTACAACAATAAAATAGAATAAAAAATAATAAAATGACAAAATCTAGACAAAAGAATAAATGAATAGTTAATTTAGTTTCGTTCACCGTAAAATTGGCTATTAATTTAAGTTCCATTAGGACCTTAAAATAAAAGAATAACAAAAAATAATAAAAGTTTTCTTTTCACTTTGTTGTTCTTCTATCTCCTAGTTATTCTTCTAAAAACAACAACAAAAAAACAAATAACGTAAAACATAAAAAATGAAAAGAATAAAACAAACAAGAAAGAGATATTTACGTTAACTTTTACTTTAGCCTATATATTCAATTGTTCACTAACCCGCCAGCACTGCATCAGTAACATAATATAATTTAAGTGTAACTCTCCTACTCCTGAACACCAGTCATGTGCGAGGAACATAAATTCGTGTTAACTATGCTAGTGTGTTTTTGCTCCCCTTCTTTCAATCTCTAACTTAATTCCATTTCACTCTTTGCACCCTCTTCTCTCTCTCTCCCTCTTCCATTTCTCCACTTTACTTCATATTCGTCGTCGTCGGTTGTCACTGTGCTAGATCAACTTTTAAGACTGAAATGAAAATAGAAGTTATTATTTTTAGCATTACTATTATTATTATTACCATTATTATCAATGTTGTTCTTGTTATCATTGCCATTATTATTATTACTTTTTCATTTTTTTTTCATTATCATCATCAGAATTATCACCATCATTATTATTGTTGTTGTTGTCAGTATCATTATTCATTATTGTTATCGTTATTGTTATCATATATTTTTATTAGTATTATATGTAACATCATCATCACCACTATCCCCACCATCTTTATCCCCCTAATAATGATAATGACAGACGTATAAATAAATGAACAGGAACAATGTAAACATTGACATACTGCAAGCATGCTCGGTCGCAGGTATAAGCGCCATAACACTCCTCCAAATGGGATCGACGCCTCGAGAAGGACCGGAATCCCCTTACAAACGATCGATTCTTTTCCGTCAGTCATTTGTTCCTATAGACTCCGGGGCTTGTTTATGATCCCACCGGACTGCATCGTTCATGTTGGTTCTATGTTGATTATGTGCAGAGAAGCATTGATTTTATGTGGATTATGTGGATAAACGTTCGCTCATCTTAAGGACATGTGGGCTAACCAAGCGTGGGCGTCGGGAACTGTACCCGGCGCTCCTACAGGACAGGTAGATATGAGGTGGAATGTGGATTGGTGTGGTTTAGTATGAGGGAGATTATGAGGTGGAGTGGGGTTCATGGAGGGTTATTTAAGGTGGGAAACTGTTCTGGGTGGAGTTTAATCAGGGCATTTGTGGGGTTATGAGGCATACTAGCTGGTATGAGATATGTTGGAGATGATGGCTGGTTATGAGGTGTCCTCTCTACTTCAGAGGAGGATGCAACCGCGCTGAGCCAACGTAGCGGCGGTATTGGGCCCATAGCTAGGAGTATGAGGTGTACATGCGAAATTGGGGTTGAAGTTCTTAAAATGCTGTGTGAAAAAAAAAGCAATAGATGAGGTATTGTATATACAAGAACAAGCCCTTATGTAATGTTTGGGTGACCCCCCCCCCCTCACACAAATCCCTAGAGGACCAGATTGGAATGTTTGTATTGTGAGGCGGAAATCTCCACATGCAAAAAAGAGAGGGTACATTTGGAAATGCAACCCCACACCATTTTTCTGGTGAATAGAATAATTTTCCAATAGCTTTCGGCGTGTTTCAAACAGATCTAGCACTCATTTCCATCGCAAACAAAGCATAATTACAAATTCGGTCCCGATAGCTGGGGAGGGTATGATAGGTCTACATATTAGGGAATTTTGAGAAATATTGATAGCATACTAGTATCGTATATTAACATTTCCGGGTTGTATAGGGGGCTCTCTCCCCTTTTAATGGGGGTCTACAAAATTTTCATCTCGTATGTTCTGGCAGGATAGAGCCCGGGCAAACCAGGTATCTGACATGTTTTCAGTAGATATAGGAGGCTCCACCCTCTTATACCCCCGGGGTATTCCAGGTTGTTGTTGGCGGGAATTGTGATTGCTTACAGCAAAGTTACACTGCCTTCTTCATTTTGTTTTTTGAATCCTTTTCCATGCACCACAAACCCACTGGTGTCTGTCATTTCTGTAATGATACAATCTCTTACAGTGTGGGCATTGTACTTCCACTGGCAGTACACTGGTAGATTTAGTAAGCTTGCTTCGTTATTTTGTTGATATTTCGTGCTGAAATCAAAATAATTGTTCTCACAACTTACACACTGCCTAGCCATGATGGAACTGATTTGAATTTCAAAAGTCTTCTCCTAATCCCAGCTTCTATTGTCATGTGATGATCTATTCCATATCTGATTGGTTCAATTGAGTGTCTATGTTCACGTCACTTTCACGCACAAATCTAATTGGCACATTTGATTCCCCTCACATATGTCATCCGTCCAATTTCTCGTCGCTCTTAACGACTTTTTGTCATTTTGTTGCGGCGCAGAAGGCATAAGGTTACTGTGGCTCCTGGAAATCTTAGATTTTGAACACTCTATAACACCGTTATCAATTTGTGCAGAAAATTTTCTTCTGAAAATTATCATAGAATGATGTGTTTACCACATGGTAAGCTCAGATTCTTTAAATTAGGTGTTGGGTTGCATTTTCAATAATACCAAAGAGAGGACTGCAAAGGCCAGCTGCGGGATGCCAGCTGTGCAGAAAAAATTATATCAGCACTCCTGTAGCCGCAAAGACTGCACATTTCATTACAGTAAAGACTGTGAAGTTAGTCTCTACAGTATGGATGCACTAAGTTAGGGTAAATTGAATATGATATTATTGTAGAGGATAAAAAGTTGCTGTTGTTAGTACAAGGAGTAATCTGTAAACACAACCAGTAACATCACAAATGAAGCTAAGAGATCCCGGGAAGGTCCACTTTCTGCCCAATTCCACTTGGTGCTACTCCTGAGTTTCAGTTCTGTCATGCTGTGCATACAGAGGTAAAAACAATGTTTCTTGGTGATTATAACCCACCATAAATTCTCCCTTTGGACAGTGCTGGTAGGGCACGCCCAATCACAGCAACTTAGATTAATGAATAAATTTTTTGACATAGGGTTAGGGACTTGGTCTCTGGGAAATGCATCTATACTGTAAGGAATTACCAAAAATAAGATGAATCATGACAGATATGATACTTTTTGAATGTGTTATAGAAATGTTCAATCCAGAATGTTTGCATCTAAAATTTGTTGAAGTTGATATTTCATCAGCTTTCCAGTTTGCAAACTCTCCAGTTTGGCTAGAGGGAGATAGGATCCCTATACAATGGAACCTCCAGTTAGTATAGGTAACAGCAAGTTGGGACATAGATAAGCCAGCATTTGTTGATATTTGGATGGCTTGCAGAGGCTCATATCTTGCATGAACATACAATTGTTTGGAAGAGTCTATTGTGTCCATAGCAGGGCGCACACCAGTTAGCATGGCTTCAAGATCTGCCTGATGTTTTTTCCTCAAACAACCAACCAATCCAAGCTATTTATTGGAAGAACTGAAGGTGGGGGAGGTTTGTTGACCTTTGTCCCTGGAGGCTTTTGCAATTGCTTTGTCATTTCATCACTGTTAGGTTAGACTTCAGATTCCTGACCTTTTGTCATTGTTCACAAGTTGTTTTAAAAGGATTTAGCGGAGCATAACCAAGGGGCTTTATTTTCAAAAGCAATAGAAAATGAATAGATAAAAATATTGACTGATTTTGGAAAGGTGTATCTTTGTAAAAAGAACTTCACAAAACCTAATAACTTGTCAAAGCATTCCTGTACTGTCAAAACCTCATAGATTGTCACAGCATTCTTGACACATTCTATGGTAGGGCCAGAAAGATAGCTGCTATGCCATTAGGTAAGGTTGCTGATAAAAAGCATGAAATATACTAATTAATTTATTTATCTTGACAAGAGTGTCAAGTCCCCAGCCAATGTACGTACCACAACTACTTCCAAAGAGCCTTCCAGCAGTTGGCAGCAGAATCAGGTATTCATGATTATATA